GTCTGCCTGGCTCGTCTTTAAGCGGGTCCAACAACAAAAAAGACCAAAGAGCAAAACACAAAAAGAACAAGGGTTTCGCTTGCTGGCATGCTAGCTTGCAGCTGGCCGCCGGCCTTTGAGATCTCGGATATCGCTGTCACGTCACCTGTGGCGTCTCTATGGGATTCAGTGAGTATGTGAAGGACAACTGATGGACCTTGACTCCTTGACCCTTGAAGAGTTTGAGTGCGTTGGTCCATCGCACACACTTTGTCTGCACCGCACGGCAAACCATCGGCATGCTGCTGTATGCCATTTTACGGAGGAGGACCGTAAAGTTAAGTTCCAAGTCGCATAACGTCACCAAGACCTGCAAGGGCAATGATGCATAGTTGCGTAAGAACAAGGACGCAGGGCCGCAATTTTTTCTCAGCATGTGCAACACAATCATGTATGCTTGCCAACGCCCGGCTACAAGTAGCAGTTGCTTCTGCCAAGGAAGTCAAGCAAGGCGAAATCGAATGCAAAGGCATTGCAGCGTGGGCCTCTGGGAGCTGTGCAATTGGTAGCTTGCCCTGGAAAAGGTTGCCTCGGCATCTCACGGGCCTTTAATGCTCTGATTTTATGGTTGCAGCTGCCGGCGTGGACTTCCCTTGGGCTATATGCATGTCGCAAGAGTCTGAAAAGGCAAGCGCCCTGTGCAGCAGGGCGAGCTGCAGTGAATCAAGCAGGAGAAGGTACGTGTTACAAAGATTGATGCTTGCTGGCCAAGCTCGAAATGGTGCAGCCGCATATCAGAATTTGCTTGCATCGAAAGCTCTGCAGTGCATTCAAAAAACGAGGAATCCAAGAGGCCACTGGGCGGAATGTCACCAAAGCGCCGGAACAGACTTGCTGCCTGCACAAAGCACAAACGCAACTTTCGCATCCCTCATCACGCAAGCAGAACGAGAGGCCTCTTTAGCAACCTGCACTGGCAAACCAACAGCCTTGGCTAACCTCGGTCCAGCATATGTTGTCGATTGGAAGCACGGACCAGGATTTTTGACCCTGTGCTCTTCTGCAGCAATTGACAGTGCAGCCAATAGGCCCTTTCAACATCCAATCTAAAACTATGCGCAATAATCGCGTGGCAAAGAGCTCAGGAGCTCCAGGGCCGGCGTTCAGGACACGGTCGACCGGATCCTCGTCTGAGTACTTGACCTGGCTGATGGAATTCGACCATGGAATTTGCGCGACTTGGCTTCTCAGGCACGAGCTCCATTCTGGCTGTCTTTGCCTGCGCGTTGCTACAAGGTTCCAAGAAGCTGTAAACCTCGCATGCGTCCAGCTGAGGGATGGACTCTGATGCCGCGCCTGGTGTGCAACACAAGGAAAAGGTCATTGCGCATCATTGCACGTGCCACAATTTGACAGGCCAAAGAACCCATCCTGTACCACGTCAGCTTGGCACCAGGTGTGCCCAATCACTTTCTCGCAAACAGCAAACTGTTCATTGGGAAGACGCGCCCTCTGCAGACTAAGATTTGCAGAGGCTGACAACCCTCACCCTCAACCCTGTACGAAGCTCAAATCCAATCTCTCTGAGAGCCTACATCATCACTTCATCCTTGAACTCAAGGCGTGGAGCCCACAACCTCCCGACTCCCCAGACCTATACTAACAGCAGCAGTAAGAACACCACAGTTACTAAACCAGCGGCTTGAGAACTGCTGAGGGCCTGCTGGGCACGTGCTGCCTGCGGTGCGAATGACAGAGGGTCTCGAAACAAAGGCAGAGGCTTTCATGCAATCAGGTCAATGTTGAAGCCTCATCGTGATGACTTGTTCTGACCGCATGCTGCTCCAAGAGGTGCTGTGCGCTACCCTTTCTGCAACGTCACTTCTACTCCACTGTGCACAGCAGCCAGTGAGAGCGAGCTTCAACAGTGGTTTAACCCGCGCCGCAGGCCTCGACTGGATTCGCCATGTTCCAAAATGCACATGCAGCTTCCAAAGACACTTCCTGCCAAGATGGCATAAAAGGCATCAACGACCACAAGGCAGAACCAGAAGTGTCACAAGAGTGTGCAACAAAAAGTCATGAAAGCCAGTATAACCTCCCCACGACCCTCACCCACACACGGCTTGCGCATCACAAGCTTCGCAACCAAAGTCCTGAGGCCCTGAATTCTTCTTGGCCCTGGGCTTGCCAGAGCCTCGGCACAACAGGACTTCTACAGCCTCATGAGACTGCAGGATGCATGCTGGACGTTGCAGGCATGATTGAGCATGCCAGTAGATACTCATGAGAGAGGCTTGACCCATCTCAGGCGCTCTGTTCGACGCTTCAAACAGCACAAATGCTCCTTTTCCAGGCTCGAAATCATTCTCTGCAGCTTGAGGTTGACCACGACAGGACAGAAGCCCAAACCAAGCTGTTCAAGAAACAACACAATGTGAGGTTCGAGTCGCAATACTTGCATGAAACCCACGCCATCTTTGATCAGATGCAAGATTCCGAAAGGCTCGGTTCTCCTTTGCAATGGTGAATGATGTGACTCCAGTCGGTGGAGGCCCAACTTTAAATAGCAAAGAAGCTATATCCAGCAAACCTGCTGAAAGATTTAAGTTTCTGGCTCTTGGGCAATTCCTTCACCTGGGCAGGAAAAACGTGCCTGAACCACGCACTCAAACCTTCATTTCCCACTCGGCCAGCATGCGCCTTCAAACTAGATCTGCTACATGCCGAAGCAACTTGTGTTCAACGAATGCCTTGACATAGTGGTATGCTGTCAAGCCAGCAGCCACAGACTTCAGCGGATAATTCTCACTACGCCGCCGCTGTAAGCCGCATGTCTCCTGCCGGCCTTCTGCTTCTCAGCATCACTCAAGCAGCCTCGGCGAGAACTGCCAAACGTGATGGCAGCAAAGCGCTGCGCAGCTTCAGGCTTCAGCTGCTGCCTACTGAAGAGCTGAAGAGCTGATTGCTTATTCCGTGAACCGGCCTTTGATCTCTGGCAAACGGCCACCACCAATGGTTCGCGGCCTGGCACCGTTCAGGGCGGTTAAACTTTTCTTCGCTCCCACTTGCCTCCAGGCTCCTCTCGGACTCAGACTAGCCCTAGCCAACAGGTGCTCCCATCTACATCTTCGCGTGCTAGTCAACAAAGAACTGTTGCAAAGGCCAAGTCTTTGCGGCGGATCAAGACAATCATTGAGACTTCAGACTTTAGATGAGAAAGTTACTGTGTTGACGTGACGCTCAAGTCTTTAGTGAGAAGGGACAGCGCATGAACCCATAGGTTATCCAGAACTTCGCTCACAGAGGCATACTTGCTCAAGGCCAAATCCTTAGCCGAATTCACTGCTCGGCGCCCGAGAAAACAAGACAGCCCAAGAACCTTTGAACCCTAACCACCTGACCTTGAAAAGCGACCAACCCAAGACCCTACGCAGACAAACTAGAGTTCGGCAGAACGGACCCAACCGAAACCTGAAACCACCACACAAATTACTCGGAAAGCTTGCTGTGCCACCATCCATGCCGAGGTCCGGCTGGACGTCTACCACCTTACAGATGGTTTTTAGTATATTGCAGTACAATATTAGAGTATACTATACTATACTATGGGCACTAGAAGTGTCTGGTTCCTAGCAGCAAGTCGACAAAGCAGTCATGTCTGGGTCTAGTCGGCACAGATTGTCACCTAATGCCTTCGGCGAAAAGCTGGAAAGGCAGCCTGCAGTAGATGAATACTTGTGTGTCGCTGCCCAAGGAGGTTTGCATTGGGAGCTTGCTGACTACATGGCATACAACACCTGGCTGCCCTGCATCACCGACTGTATCAACCATCGATACGGCACGGTCGTAGGTAAAGGTTTCAGGCGTGTAGTATGAAAGAACACAGGGCTTTTTTATTGCTTGATTGGGAGGGGTCTTCGTGGTCTGCAGAGTTCGCAACACTAGATCCAGCTCAAGTGTTGAAGAAGGTGGACATTCCAACATTACGAGTGATATGTGTTGTCTCAATAGGTAGGGATGGTAAACCACATTGACATACCACTGCACTCTGATGCCGCGTGCGAGATCAAATGTCAAAAAGTGATGATTCTGCATATCAACACCCCCATGTGAGTTTGCCTGCTTTTTCTGCCGCTGAGCACTATTTCTGACAGCAGGGACTCTTTGAGTACCCTGCCGAACATGGCAGGGGAAGTTGAAAACCCCTTGCGTAGCACCCGGGCCTTCAAACAAACCTCTTGCCGGCTCTTTAAAGAAGTGGACTGCACGTCCTCCGCCAGCCGGGCTGATGGGAGCACAAACTGTCGACAACTCGCAGAGGGCAAGCCGATGGCTTGCGGTAGGATACACAATGGAATTACCTACAGCCAAAGCTGTTGATTCACGTGAGCGCTGTACAAAGTTCAATGAAAGCCGTGTAGCCAGTAGGTAGGCATTGCCGGCCACAATGCCAAGGCAATTATAATTCCAGCCATCACAGCAGCCAAGCCTCACTCCGACAACAACTTGCAATGCAACAGTACTCTGTTCGTCGAAGCCAGGGTTGAATCTGGACGTTAGGATCGCGCCTGAGGTTCCCCTATGCTAGAGCAATTGCTCAGGCTGCACGCGCGCGCGAGCGAGGGAGCGAGAGCGCGAAAGAGAGAGAGAGAGATAGAGAGAGAGAGACTGCGAACTTGCTGTCCCAACAGAGCCTGCAGCAATGAGGAGCAGCAGCCAAGCGCCAGCTGCCCACCAATTCAGCCTCGGCTGCTTTTGAGGGCGACCATTATTCAGGAAACTCAGAGATCTACATGACATTAGAGTCACTAGAGCATGTCAAAGGCTGATGCGCTGGCAGAAAAGTCTCGAAAAGCAGCCGTTGCGTTCGACACGGTCAGCCGGTATGGGTACAGAACTTCACGAATCGTCTTCTACACTTGCACGCAGCTGTGTTGCCACAACAGAAGACAGCGGGCAGCAGCAGCCCCAACCCCGCCACCACTACCACCAACAACAAGCCCACACAAACACACAAACAGAAAGCACCACAAGCGCAGGTCCAGTACTGCGTTGCGTGCTGGGAGCTTGCTTGACAAGTTTGACTTGATGCTTGACTCGCTTGACGCTATGGCTACACCATTTGCCCCCTCAGCCAGAGGCTTCAATGCTGGAAACCAAGGTCCATCTTCATGCATCTTCTGCCAGGCGGCCCCAGGCGCGACTTTAGCCCCTCAAAAATGCGGCTGAACCTCGGGGCCAGCGCCACAGCAGCCGCCAGCTGCCTCAGGACAAAGAAGCGAACTGCTACCCACCCTGTAGTGCAGAATGCAGCAATGGTACGAGCACAGTCTAATCCAGAAGACCTTTTCCAAAACAGCGAACGAATCTGGCCGATGGAAGGAATGGATGGCCAGTTTGAGTGCGCAACACGATTCAGTCAGGTCTACAACCGGAGATGCTTCAAGCCCTCTGCACCCAAAATGCAGTGCCAGGGCCATTTGTCGTAGCCCTTTTCCATTTTGTTGGGACTCTCTCTGGAAATCTGGCTGGCCAGGGTCTGCGAAAAGCTCCACAACCCGTCAGAGGAATGCTGCGTGCAGACATGCGTCACAGGATAGCAAAGCGTCCCATAGCCCAAATAAATCGCGGTGAAATAGCGGAACCTCAATCTGAGGCGCCATGTGTCCAACCAAGCATGTTTTCCAGAAGCTGAGAAACCGCCTTTGTGCGCCTTGAGTTAAGCTCACGCACATTGGCAGCCCTTCTTTTACCCGTACAGCATGCAGCGCAAGGGGCAGTCTCATATCCACGTGGAAAGGGCACAGCTCGATTGGCGCGCTACCCCAGGTCCAAACCTGAGTGAAATCCGTACGCTTACCACGAATTCTATTTGTGCTGCCCGAAAGTGGCAGCAAATATGCTCCTTCATGTCTACTAGTATCGCAAGCAGTAGAGAGAGCGAGCTGCGCTGACCTTCTGGGCACGCAACGTAGGAGGTGCCGCTCAGAACAAGGCAAACGCAAGCGTTGAGGCCAAAGCATAGCAAATAGCCTTGGTACATCTACGAATCTTGCGAGGAAGCTGCATCAAAGCCAAAGCTGTCAGAAGCTGGCCTCAAAGGTATAGCCATCATAAAACTCCAGGTGCGATTTGCAAACAGGCTGCTAAAGACAATGCCCTTGCCATTCTTCCTCAGATTCAGCAAGTTAACCCTAAGCAGAAACCAGCACGTTGTTTCATTGCACTCCTGTAGACTGGTGAGAGCAGCAACTGTGCCAACTCCAAATGAGGCAGCCGTCTTCACGCATTCAAGGGGCCTAACCAGTTCTTGCGCTCTCTTCCGCACGTTGCCGGTAGCCTTCCAATCACTGTGAATAACTCCGACCCATGGCCTAGCATTTGGTTCTCACCACATGTTTGTTGAACTTTGTGTTTCACGCGGGTCCCGCATAGATATTTCTACGTCGCCCTCTAATGAGCCCAGGGCAGGCTAGTAAAGCGCACGGGATTCGAGAATACTTGGCACATAGCAGCTAGGCCTTGCAACCCCGGACGCACATCCACCCTGCCCATGACTTGACATCTATGCAGTCTAGTCCATACACTCCTTAAGGAGGACAAAGCATGAGCATGTACATGCATGACACACAACAAGGGTACTGATGTTGCTCTCCCCTGTTGGCCTAGCTTCTTCCCCCTTTCCTTCCAAGCTACAAATCTCAGGAGCTCACCAAAAGGCTTGCAAGAATGTCAAGGGCGTGAAGCCCTCGACTTAAACCGCCGTCGACCCAGGGTCTTTTCTTCTACATGATGGCAACAGTAGTGCGTTGGTACAACACAGAATCTATGGAATAACCGTGTTGAATGCGCTTGCTGTCAATACTGCGGACTCAATACAGGACAGTAGGCATACAGGTGATAGTTGGCTCTTGTTGTTGCATTGCTGCACTTCATGACACGCTGGGCATGGCTTTACAGTGGACGTGCAGGTGGCTGTGCAGTGTTACAGGCTTTTCGAAGGTGCTCTACGATGTCGGCCGCCAAGAACCTAAGCCCTGTCACACAGCCAGGAAGGTGTCGCCCTCCGTGCTCTTCTACTGTCAGTCAGCTTCTGGCCAGAACGCACGCTTGGCGCAAGTTGTGTGACACGCGTGCACTTGGCACCGTCCCTGGCCATCTCAGCTAAGCAAATCCCAACAGCATGGCAATGATCTCGACTGGAAGCAGCATCACATGTTGCAGCCAAAATCCCGAACTCACTAAGCCTTCAATCTTATTGCATTGGATCTGGCCTAGTCGCTGGTTAACAGAACTTTCAGTAGTTGGGCCTCGACTACAGAAAATCTCGATGCAGCCAGGCAAACGGCAGGCCTGGCCACGTCGAGAACGCTTCATGAAGGAATCTTGGTTTCGGGCATCTTGCGTAGGCATCCGCAATCCATGTTGGCACAGTGGGGAAGGCCCGCGGTATAGTAGTCACGAGTTACTCTGGGGTAAATCAACATGTGCGCGAGGACTCTTGGCACTGCATGCTGCAAAAACGCTCATTCTACAGACTAATTTGCTGCACATTTCCCCTTCATCTCATGCCCACCGAGTTGAAGCCTTGAAGAGCAACGCCACCGCTTGTAGCGAATCGAATAGGCAAACAAGCAGGCACCTTAGCTTCATCTTATCTCCGTGCAATTGGCATCCAAAGATTGCCTTATCAAGCTGCGACTACAACAACAAACGACAATGATTTGTGCTTGTGGAGTTGGGGCTCTAAGCAGCTTTTCATCAGGTGATGCTTTCAGCGCCTCTCAATCCAGCCTACTTCAGATCTCGGAACCGGACTTACACAGCTCGAGCACTGCGATTCCAAGCAAGCTTGGAAAAGGATCAGCAGCAGCAGCTCGTATATCCAAGCAACCTACTTTAAGTTCGGCCAAGTGTCTTAACAGCTGAGACCCGCGTCTGCTGCCAGTCCTGGGCATGTCAGTGTGCTAACATCATGCAGCATGCCTCACAAAACATCACCCTTCCTCGGCCTTACAGTTCAACTCCAAACTCAAGGCCCTGCTGTAGCCTTCATGCATTTGTTGTGGAGTCTGGAGTGGGGTGTTTGGTTGCAATGTGCCTCTTTTCATGGCGGCGCGCTGTCGGTACAGTACCACCGGCTGCCTGAATACAGGATAGTGGGATCGCATTTCGGTAAAACTCACCCATCAGTTTTCTTCACTTGCCACACAGTAAGGACAAGCACAGCAACACACCAAGAAGTGGCCCCCTCTGCAGCTAGATGAGCCCTTCATGAGTACTTCGCTGATCGGTGGAAGAGAAAGCGTCTCTCCCAGAAGGTATATCATCACCCCTTTTTCAATGCAAGTAGCTTTCCTTATGAACAACTAGCCAAGAAGCAGGGGCGCAGCAGGCCGCCTGCTGCAAGGCACGAGAGCAGGTCTTGCCTGAGATCCCAGAAGAAACATCTCTCACAACGAGCTGAATGAACTGACATGCACTACTCATCCTGAAAGCTTCCACGTCGCAGTGCACCGTTAAACGCGTCTAGCTTGCGTCTGATCCGCAGCATCGTGTTCCCAGTCGTCTAAGTCTAAGGGCCGTACGCTTGTGGCCAGTTGCGATGTAAGCAGGGGTGCCGCCACGAAGGAGGCAGCCGCCATCAGTTGATGGGTGCGTATTCGAGTGTTGTACAGTAAGCTTTTTCTGGATGTGAGATAAACCTGCAAGGATTGACGGAATCCCGTTTTGAGCGACAGAACATGTCTAAACTTCCACTTCTTATGGCAAACAATGTGTGAAGCCAGGCAACACGGCTGCATAGGGAAGAGCAAAACACCAAGCTGACACCCTGTCAGCTTGAGTCGGAAATCTGACTGAGCTAAGTCAAGCACGGCTTTCCAGCACACGGCTCGTCTGCTGACGCAGAGATCTAGTTCGCCCCATCCTGTTCTCGTGTTGGGATGATGGACCTATGCTTCCCCAACATCTGCTAAATCTGCTGGCTAGCCAAGAGGCATAGCTGGTATGGCAGAAAGAGCGGCTCTGTGCAGCAACTGCTTGAACCCTATCCTCGAGCCATTCATGCTTGGCTTCGACCTCAAAGATCCGCAGGACTGAGTAAAAAGCGATCGCCTCCAGCAGCAAAGGCTTGCGCAAGAAGATGCTATGGGCTCTCTCCCTTACTGCTTCTAAGCGGATTTACCTCTTGTTCGTGGTTGCAGGCACAGCACCATGTTTGTCCGATCTTAGCTGCATAGTGGCAAGAACCAGAAACGAGAACTGTCTTCATGGCAGCTACCGCACCTGTGGGCACGACATAGGGAAAATACGCCTAGAGTCTAGCAAACACTGCCTCGAGGCGCTGCTTTTCTCCAGGGACTGGCGCTCGAAGTCCGCCGCTTGCCTGTTGCCAAGCACACGGAAGGATGACTGAGTCAACTACCGTGATGGGTTGCCACGGCAAGCTGCTAAGAATACCGCTTTAGCTCAAACATGCTCAAGCCATCTCAAACGCCACACCATGGACATGGCCTGAGCATGTTCACCAGACGTGGTGGAATGGGCTCATCCTGAGAAGAAATCCATGAGACTTAAGACGGAGTGCCGGCAGCTACAAGCACAGTGTACTTATCATTCCAGGGCTCAGATTTTGCTCCCACCTGCAGCAATCTCGACCAGAG